CCGATATTAAGATGTTGAGCCTCTTGAAATATTTTTGCCCTACTAGATTTTTAGGACTTCGGCGCCACTGCGCATAACAATAAGAAAACGCATTCGAATTTAAACTCACTAAACGGTAAACCTAACCAATTATTATGCATTAAACATAAGACGTAAAACTTGCGTTTGAAATTAACAATGACCAATGCTATAGGTCTATACATAATAATAATAATAATAATAATAACCAACAATAATAGTTTTGTTAAAATCTTAAAATGTTAACACATAATAATATTTTTACTTTTAAGCCGGACTCGGTTGCACATCAGCTTTCATGTTTTTGCATTTAAAGTGTTCCGAAATCTCGTTAAGCGTCTTGTTYTCGGTCTCCGGGAGTTGAAAGTACAAATAAACCAGACCGATTAGGCCTAAGGCCCCGAAAGAAACGAATGTGTTATAGAAGCCCGTAATCACTTCGAGATCCAAATAGAACTTGGTCATCAGGAAACTCAAGATGAAGTATGTTGCTGAACTTATACCGGCACCGACGTTTTTACTTCTGGAATACAAGACAATGAGAAAACTCGTAAGTGTAATATTATATTWGTATAGCAATAGATAAACAAAATAATATGTATACTACAGCGAGTTCCGGTTACAATAATGTTCACTGCCTCACTGGTTTGTAGAATCGATCGTTAATTTTAAATTAAATTCACTCTCAAGAGTAATTACCCATTCGGATTTGGTTCTTTCTTTGTTGTAAATTTTTTTTTTATGTAAAATATACATAATATATACTAAAACGTGATTTTTTTAAACAAAACAATTGGTTAATAGAATCAAAACCATATTAAGAGGAACTCGATGTAATATTTGTTTAACAATGGCCTTATATATTTTTTTAGTTTATCACCAATTATAATAATATTATATAAAAATTAATAGTGTTGTATTAAAAGTGGTTAAAATATAGGTARAAGAACGTCGTGTGCTTACTTCATCGGGAAAATTTCGCACATGAGAATCCACACTATAGGCATGATTCCCATCGACGAAAAAAAAGTCGATAAAAAAAATAACACAATTTTTATCCATGACGTGACTGGAGACGACGGCAATATGTTTCCGACGATCCCGATTGACAGGTAACAAACTGAACAAGAAGCCATTGTGCACAAAGCCAAAAATCTTTTTCCCAATTTGTTTATTGAGCATATGGTTAGCACATTTCCCGCGACGCTAAAAGCCGTGTACATAGTCTATACAGTAAATATATACACGTATTAGTTATTATCATTTATTATATATATTATTTATTATAGTGTTGTTATTGTATCAATTCATTACATATTAATATGAGTAATAATAAAAATAAAAATAAATATGACATTAATCCGATTAACATTCATTTTCAAAGTTTCCTTTTCGATGCACAAGATCTATTTTTTACTCTTCAAATTGTTTACATCTTAGTTCCTACGTCTCCCAATTTACTGTCAAGTAACAGTTTAGTTAGAATTGCAACTAACGACTAGAATGAAGAATCTGCTCTTAATATTCTCAACAAAYATATGAAAAAATATATTTATAGGATAATATAATATTTTAACGTATATTTAATGATATTGTTATATATGAAGAACGTGTCAGCTTGATTTATTATTGCTTTTTTTGTAGAATGAAAGACTATAAAGCTACGAAGTAATTTTCCATTCTCTTCTTTTATTTTTTATAGATGAAGCCCTGCCATCCTAAATTTAATTTAACCAATAATTACCGAGGTCCGTGGACTTTGGTTCATTCTGATTTTAGCTTGCAGTCTAGTCTCTATATATATTCTATTGGAATTATAATAGTTCATTTAAGCAAGTCGCATATAGGTGGACATGATTTAAAAATGTAAATATTGACCAACCGTTGCCCAAGCCGGATGGAAAGACACTTGGAATTTATCGAATACGGATATCAGATACGGTGTATAAGGTATTCCGGACAGCAGATTGGTGAAGAAAATCATTATCATGAGCAGCTGCAAAGGTTTTAACGTTTCCGGTTTAATGAAGTAGTACAATGAATCGTTGATAGAAGAAATTTCCTGTTTTTCTCCTGGAAAAAAAATTGAAGATAAAACATAAAATARTGTTATAGTGAATATTTTTGTATACCTAGGTCCTAGGTAATCAAAATAGATTTTTTTAATATTAGTTTATTATTAAAATTAAATGAACATATTGCAATTAATATCATTATAATTGCGTTAGTTTTTGTAACTGCRATAGCTGCAAATTTTATTAATCTGTTGTTTTTGAGTTTAAATTTTTGCATCATGTTATATTTTACACGCATGATGTGAATACAATTTTACAAATACCTATTTAGATGAAATGAAAATGAATTCATAATAAATAATAATTATAAATTATATATACAGGTATACTATTATACTTTAGGGGATCCTGCTCAATATAACTTCGGAAAAAGTTGTGACAAAATATTAACAGTGCACTAAATATAGTCATAAATCATATAGACTACTATATAGACACTCCTTAATTTTGTGGACGATCTCCAGATCACATCCATATGAACGTAGTAAAGGAGAGTAARCCAATATGAGAAGAAATCGAAACGAGTAATGTAGGACTAAATACTAATGTAAGTAAAAAACCAGTTATAGAATTAAATGGTTAAGACACCCGAGGGGATTGGGAAAAGAGAAGAATTAACATTAGAATTGAAATTTGTAGGCACACGAATAGGTATACAAACTACACAAGAGTGTGTGAGCCCCCATCATTACACTCTGGGGAAGTAAAACTTCTTTCTTAAGTATTGGCGCCTGTGAAATTATAAGTGAATCACAAGTTTTAAATTATAATTTATATATTGTAATATAATATAATATATATAATATTTATAATTGTATATTATATAAAAAGAGAGATTTGTATAAAAAATAACARAGGTGTAACAACTGTCACTATAACAGAAATCGTTGCGTTTCATTTTTTTTGACGATTTTTTTCCACCCGTACCTCAAAAAAGAAGTTTTAATTCAAAAATGATTGATCAAGGGCAAATAGCCAATAGGCATCCGATTAAATAAAACTTWAAAAAAAAACATTTTACGCATTCGCGGTAAAGTTAACTATAAAGCTTCGCAAGATAGGTAGACGTTATTTTGAAGAGCGAAAATTCGACTGTACTATTAAATTAAATACTAACCAGCTGTTGGAAGATTAATTTCGGATGTATAATAAATCATATCCCGAAATTCCACAGCACACTTATCCTCACCAACACCACCTCGGAGTTTGTTAAATGTACTCTTCGCCTCATCCGTTCTACCCTGGGACATCAACCACATTGGTGAATCTGGGGTCTGAAATCATATTAAATTTTAATTGTAAATTACTTATTTCTTTTAAAGAATTTATTATTGTT